TAGTGAGACGTTATCGAGATGTATCCCATATCTCACGTCTGTAGATCAGGAAATGTAGTGAGACGTTATCGAGATGTATCCCATATCTCACGTCTGTAGATCAAGGAATGTAGTGAGACGTTATCGAGATGTATCCCATATCTCACGTCTGTAGATCAGGGAATGTAGTGAGACGTTATCGAGATGTATCCCATATCTCACGTCTGTAGATCAGGGAATGTAGTGAGACGTTATCGAGATGTATCCCATATCTCACGTCTGTAGATCAGGGAATGTAGTGAGACGTTATTGAGATGTATCCCATATCTCACGACTATAGATCAGGGAATGTAGTGAGACGTTATCGAGATATATCACATATCTCACGTCTGTAGATCAGGGAATGTAGTGAGACGTTATCGAGATGTATCTCACGTCTCACGACTGTAGATCAGGGAATGTAGTGAGACCTTATCGAGATGTATCTCACGTCTCACGACTGTAGATCAGGGAATACAGTGTATGTCAGTCATTTTATTTTAACTACTACAGAACAGGATGCATGAGCATAGAAAACATCAGATTTTCCTGAGCACTACAACCTGCAATTATTTCCCCTGTGTTTACAATACCTGAGGGTTCTGTCACGTCCTGGCCATCAATGAGTTTATTGAACTGAGAATTGTTTTCAAGAAAGGGCCTTTGACACCCGTGTTACCATTCGGTAACTGGATAGATAATCACATGGATTAAGATTGGTATAGATGGACAGCGGTTCAAGCCTTGGTTCTGTTGTAGTCATATTGAGCCAACTATTTGGACATATGACCTATTCCGTGAATCTCGGCGGCCTCACCAGGGTCTCGACCCTCCACCTGTTCCGTTTGACTGAAGTGTAAACGTCAACATCTTTCTATTGGTATGGGCAGATGAATATAACGAGGTCCCCATTATGCCTTTGGTAAAACATTAAAACAACATGACACTGGGATGATCAATCGGGACAGGAACGTGTTACAGGTGAGTAAGTAATTATATGAGTGCTGGAGGCAGCACAGTGTATGTCATGGACATTCCTGCCGCGCCACTGTCAGGACATCACCAAAATATCCATCAATGTGTCAATCACGCGTCCCCAGGGTCTGTATGTTATCTGTAGGTGAACCATGTAGAACACACCATAGTTGCAAATATTAAGACGAAGGGGAGACCACTCCGGTCATGTCGAGCTCAGAGGTGAGGGAATTATATGCTTTTTATCTAAAATTGGAAACCAGGGCTACGAATCATTACACTGGGAATGTTGTAGTTCTGCTTTACTGTGTAGACACTCATGTATATGAAAGAGGGTCAGATTGATGTATGTTGTGTGTGATTCAAGTGCGCCGACCCTCCCTCTCTATTGACAATGTCAGGTAGATAGACAGCGGGTTCCCCGGGGCTGTTGACAAGCTCTCTATACCGGTGTTGGTATTGACCTCCTGGACAACGGGGCACTGACTGGGCTCTGGAGGGGATGGATTAAGACTTCTGGTCATTCTTGTCGATATTAATCGTATTGTGAATTTGAGTGCCATACAAGCCTTTATCTGTCCGCTCGGCACTGTGAGAATATCGATCTATACTTAATGTATTAAAACAGGTGTTAAGATAAATATGTTATAAGTTAATGCAACCTGCAGCCTATTACAAGAAGTGAAATATGTCCGTGACTGGCTCAGTAATGCTTAGTGGTGCGGCAAGTGGAGAAACGCACAGCCAAATCTACAAGGCAAACAAATCCGCCCACAGCCTGCTTGAATCTGGAAGGCTTCATTGACATCATCAGCCGCTGTACCCGTCCCCGGACAGTAGGGCCATATTTGGGAAGCCTGTCCTAAATAATATTTATATTAGACTATGACTGACGTTGTCCTTAGGGTCTGTGTCATACAGATATTTTATTAACCGCTCCTACCTGCAGTATTTTATTCAACCGTAAAATGTATTTAATAAGATCTGTTTTGAAAAGGTGATCTGTCAATGCGCGTAAGTGTGAAAAACTCTTAAGTATGTTGAGCATGTCCATATTACAATACCCCAGTCAAGTGCTGCTCCTAAAAGCCAACTCACACGTGAACAGGAAAGGTAGTCTCCACTCGGAGATCAAACCACTAACTGGTATTTTTGAAAGCTTAAGGAGGTCATGCGAGAGTCGTATAGGTGTGTCGGGTTATCGAGACAGCACACACACACACTCACAATCGTCGACACCACACGGGGACAGACATGTGAGTATTGCATCGTAGATATCAGCCATATATACATTATTAGAGGAATGGTTCATTCACATATAGATCAACCGAGTAATATTTCCGCGTTATATCTCCCATGTGGGCACGTGTCTTCGTTTGAGATGTCACCTTTGCGTAAGGTGGTCCTTCGTGCTGCTCATACCGGTCCGTAGCCTTGATACTCACCTGGTGCAAAGTTACATTCAAGTTTGAAATATTACCGGTTTCAGCTATTTGAATGTATTCGAGTGTTAGGAATATACAGTCTAAAATCATTTGCTTATTATGCATTTACACAACATCATACACAATGTCATCTGAGATATTCATGGACTATTAAATTCAGGATGAAATTACTCAAATAGTACACATTCCGTACATGTTATGTTCCGTTACGGTGATCGTAAAGGTTCGCCCTGCTGTTTGTGCTCCAGGTACAAGGGGTGATGCAGCCTAATCATGGAATCTAATCGGGTACTGGGAGAGAAATGTACATAAAAATAATGACTTTTTAAAGAGGTCGTTTCTTTGTGGTAACGCAATGCTTCTTGGCGCTGTCTTTGTGGATGTATCGGAGTTTGTCTAGTGAGGAGGAAAACTCGTAGGACGGGTTTCAGATCTGTGTGTCGACAGGTAAACTACTGACACACTCAGCGGGTGTTTATTAACTCAATATTAACTCTCTACCTGGGCCATGACAGACGCTGATGTGTCATGTCATGGGTTGGACAGGTATTTGTTCAATTAAAAATGACGTCGCCCATCCTAAACCAAGATTCATTGATCTGAATATGCACTCAATACCATGACCAGGGTTTTAAGATCGTGCTAAAACTCTAGGATTAGCTGGCACCCAGAACACAACACCTAATCCTGCCTTATGTCACCTCACTTGCCATGAGTAACCAGCAGGGTTAGATAATTCAAGTCGTCTATAAAAAGCCTTGTGTTTTGTTATATTTGAATTTGAACGCGGGTTAAGTAAGGGCGTCTGTCTCCATGGAAACAGGGCTCTCATAATTTACCTGTTATAAAGCAAATACAGAAACCAGGTCGGTGTGAGATGTTAAAATCCACTGCAAATAAATTAGGCCCCGGAAACTTTCGTATATTTATAGATGCACCGGGTAGTGTTTAAAGGTAGGACAGCGGCATGTGCATCACTGATCATGTTATATGACGTCTACTTAACTTTGACGAAGGTAGGGCTGACGTAGTGACACACCGACCACCGTACAGACAGACACAGTGGTTCACTAGATACCTGACTGGGTACACACTGGTAGCCTTGTACACCTACTGGCGTGGTACACGTGGGTCTCCAACCTTGCCTGTTATGACATACCTTCGTTAATCTTAACCTTAAGCTGATGCGGCTCCGATCACAGAATAGAAATTGTTAGCTGTGATTGTACTAATATAGTGTGAATATGTTGCATGAGTTGCTGCGTATAATGGCTGTGTTGTAATGAAATAGAGGTGACAATGATAAGGTCTGTTCACTCCACCTAGCTTCACTGAACAGGCTAACAGTATTCAAAGCATAGCGCAGACACCGTGCTTTAGAAAGTCCTCCATTCAAACGTCCATGAAGTGAGTCTACTCGTACGTGTCAATTGTTAAACTTAAAGGTAAATGTGCCCTTATACTGTATACTGGAGTTGGATTCCCACAATGTCGCTGGACAACTATGGCAATGAAGCTTGGTGTATTGTAGTGTAGCAGAATACTCCCACTGCCACTGACTGCTTCTAAATGTCAGTGATACTGGGTGTGACACTCGCTTCCTGCCATCTACTGCTACCAGCGATGCTGCATTTATGTGGGTGACTACCGGTGTCAGACTCAGATGTATGAAACTCTCGTCTGTCCTGTGTGAGACAGTATCTGTATCAGCCTCGTGTCTGCCCTGTGTGAGACAGTATCTGTATCAGCCTCGTGTCTGTCCTGTGTGAGACAGTATCTGTATCAGCCTCGTGTCTGCCCTGTGTGAGACAGTATCTGTATCAGCCTCGTGTCTGTCCTGTGTGAGACAGTATCTGTATCAGCCTCGTGTCTGCCCTGTGTGAGACAGTATCTGTATCAGCCTCGTGTCTGCCCTGTGTGAGACAGTATCTGTATCAGCCTCGTGTCTGCCCTGTGTGAGACAGTATCTGTATCAGCCTCGTGTCTGTCCTGTGTGAGACAGTATCTGTATCAGCCTTGTGTCTGCCCTGTGTGAGACAGTATCTGTATCAGCCTCGTGTCTGCCCTGTGTGAGACAGTATCTGTATCAGACTATGTTATGTCTGAAACTGTATAGATAGAGAATCTCACCCGAGTGTCTTTTGATATCAAATATATCACCACGAGTTGATAAAGTAACAAATATCTGAGGCTTGCCGAGGATATTTTTACTTTTATCAACGAGTGTTGATATATTTGATATCAGAAGACACGAGGGTGAGGTTCTATTTATCATCCAAAATCACACTTCATTAGTTTTCAATGAAAAATGTACATCTCTGAACACAGTACTGCCATTAGATTTGCAGTGCAGCGATGTCATAGCATTGTGACGTCATCAAGTTCATGACGTCATAGCATTGTCAGGGCATTGTACAAAGTCTACTGTCAAAACGATATCTCCTAGGAGATATCGTTTGATCTCACACAAGCAATATCTCCTGTGAAACATAGTTTTGGATGATAAATCAATATACATCCCGTCTGTCGTGTGTTTAAGTCTTGCTAATCGTTTTGTTACAGAGGAAAATGGCCAAGTCTGAGGTACAGAAATGCCTGGATTGGCTGTTTGAACAACAAGTAAGTGCAAATCTTGCCAACACAGTTCCCTCCTCTAACTGCGAATTAATGGATTCAATATGTAAAACAGAAGTCACATGTTTTGGGGATATCACTGTATAGTATAGCAATAAATCACCGTGTAAGATCACTAGTTGTCACTGTGAAACAACCTGAGTAAGTTGGAACTGTAACACACCACGAGTAAGTTGTCAGTGTAAATCACCACGAGTAAGTTGTCAGTGTAAAACACCACAAGTAAGTTGTCAGTGTAAATCACCACGAGTAAGTTGTAAGTGTAAATCACCACGAGTAAATTGTCAGTGAAAATCACCAGGAGTAAGTTGTCAGTGAAAATCACCACGAGTAAGTTGTCAGTGTAAATCACTACGAGTAAGTTGTCAGTGAAAATCACCACAAGTAAGTTGTCACTGTAAAACACCACGAGTGCGTTGTTACTGTAAAACACCACTAATAAGTTGTCACTGTAAAATACCACGAGTAAGTTGTCACTGTAAAACACCATGATTAAGTTGTCTCTGTAAAACACCAAAGTAAGTTGTCACTGCAAAACACCATGAGTAAGTTGTCACTGTAAAATACCACGAGTAAGTTGTCACTGTAAAATACCAAAGTAAGTTATCACTGTAAAACACCAATAGTTAGTTGTCACTGTAAAACATCACGAGTAATTTGTCACTGTAAAACATCACGAGTAAGTTGTCAGTGTAAAACACCACGAGTAAGTTGTCACTGTAAAAGACCACGAGTAAGCTGTCACTGTAAATCACCATGAGTAATTTGTCGCTGTAAAACATCACGAGTAAGTTGTCACTGTAAAACATCACGTGTAAGTTGTCACTGTAAAACATCACGAGTAAGTTGTCACTGTAAAACATCACGAGTAAGTTGTCACTGTAAAACATCACGAGTAAGTTGTCACTGTAAAACATCACGAGTAAGTTGTCACTGTAAAACATCACGAGTAAGTTGTCACTGTAAAACATCACGAGTAAGTTGTCACTGTAAAACATCACGAGTAAGTTGTCGCTGTAAAACATCACGAGTAAGTTGTCACTGTAAAACATCACGAGTAAGTTGTCACTGTAAAACACCAGAAGTAAAGTGCCACTGTTTCCACACAGGGGGAGCTTGAGTGCGCCAGTTTCGGCCAGGGGGAGAGCGGTGTCATGAAGGCACTTAGTCTACAGAGAGCCAAGGCGGTCCAGATCAAAGACTTCAGCCAGCAGATAGACAAGCTCGTCCAGAACTCGGTCTGTCCCTGTCTACCTCAGAACACTCAACTAGTATATCACATCTGGACAAAAGTCATAAAATAATGTTCAGTATTGCTTTGCAACATTACAAATTATCAATAAAATTTGTGAAAATATTAACGCCTCGTGAGTCTTGTATAAATAAATAACCAGTCTATTTCTATTCATTTGACAGAACGTTGGCGAGGAGGAGGCAGTTGATCTGAAGGGGAAATACAGCTCAGTAGAAGTAAGAGAGACAACTTTGAATTATCGCCCCTTAAATCCAATCATTCTTGCATTTAACATTGGGCTCAAGTGACTATGCCTGTTATGTCGAACTAATTCACATACTTCCTACTTGCTATCAACCTTGCTGAAGCATCATGTGCGTAATATGATATTTTTATATCTAACAGGCGCTGTCATCCAAAAGAGGCTCATGTTTTGAGGTCATTTCGCAAATCTCAGGGCTTCAAGAATTAGTGGAGGTAAGTGATATTCACTACAGTTCTGTGGCATTCGGTTCATGATCATATTTGACACGACCAGTTATGTTTACGTGTGTATGTATCTGTACCTTCCTGTACTCCAGAACCTGTCCACCGAGTTCGACTCCCGGGCTGTACACTTGGTCAACACAGGAGATGCTGGAAAACCCAAGGGCAGCATTGACCAGACCAACGAGAGCATGGCACGAACTGCACAGGTAGTCACTGAGTCATCACATACAGGACAGTCATACGTATTCAGGGTTAAAAAGAGGACAGAACACATACGACAGTAAACAGTGATTTACAGAAATGGTCTTGGGTAGCATTAGAGCAGAAATACATTAACCGGCGACGACCGTTTCATTTTACATTCGTGCATACAGACACTGGTCATACAGACACTGGTCATACAGACACTGGTCATACAGACACTGGTCATACAGACACTGGTCATACAGACACTGGTTTTGAGTCAAGTCATATGTTAGTGAGACAAGTATACATATATGTGCGTGATATGTCCCAATCTGGATGTGAGTATACACAAACGGAAAAATAACGTATAAATTGGAGTAAATATTGTGGTGTGGAAAATATCAGCTTGATTTTTGGTCAGTCGTTTGCGCCCTAAAGGGGGGATGTTGAAACTCAATTAACAATTTCAAAATCGGGCTGGAACATTTTTGCGTTGATACAGGACAATAGCCTCAACGATGTTGTTTAACATGTCAGTCGACGATTAGCAATTATCTTATTGGACTTTAAATAAGTGTTACATTTAGTTTTTTCCGTTAGTGTAGTTAAATGCATGTATGTATCTGAGAGGGGCAGGCTGCCTGGATTGTAGTGTACGTGAGCCATATGTTCTGGGTTTAGAACTGCATCACGGCTGTCAGGAGGAACTGGAAGTGGATTCTGACCACGATGCAGTGTTCTGAGGTCCATCTCAAGAACGCAGCAGCCTACCAGGAGGTCAGTACATTCATCACCCAGAACTGTAATACAACACAAGTAGGTCAGTACTCTTCTGTAATACAACACAAGTAGGTCAGTACTCTTCTGTAATACAACACAGGTAGGTCAGTACTCTACTGCAATACAACACAAGTAGGTCAGTACTCTTCTGTAATACAACACAGGTAGGTCAGTACTCTTCTGCAATACAACACAAGTAGGTCAGTACTCTTCTGTAATACAACACAGGTAGGTCAGTACTCTTCTGTAATACAACACAGGTAGGTCATTACTCTACTGTAATAAAACACAGGTAGGTCAGTACTCTTCTGTTATACATCACAAGTAGGTCAGTACTCTTCTGTAATACAACACAGGTAGGTCAGTACTCTTCTGCAATACAACACAAGTAGGTCAGTACTCTTCTGTAATACAACACAAGTAGGTCAGTACTCTTCTGTAATACAACACAGGTAGGTGAGTACTCTTCTGCAATACAACACAGGTAGGTCAGTACTCTTCTGTAACACAACACAAGTAGGTCAGTACTCTTCTGTAATACAACACAGGTAGGTCAGTACTCTTCTGTAATACAACACAAGTAGGTCAGTACTCTTCTGTAATACAACACAGGTAGGTCAGTACTCTTCTGTAATACAACACAAGTAGGTCAGTACTCTTCTGCAATACAACACAGGTAGGTCAGTACTCTTCTGCAATACAACACAAGTAGGTCAGTACTCTTCTGCAATACAACACAGGTAGGTCAGTACTCTTCTGTAATACAACACAGGTAGGTCAGTACTCTTCTGTAATACAACACAAGTAGGTCAGTACTCTTCTGCAATACAACACAGGTAGGTCAGTACTCTTCTGTAATACAACACAGGTAGGTCAGTACTCTTCTGTAATACAACACAGGTAGGTCAGTACTCTTCTGTAATACAACACAAGTAGGTCAGTACTCTTCTGTAATACAACTCAGGTAGGTCAGTACTCTTCTGTAATACAACACAGGTAGGTCAGTACTCTTCTGCAATACAACACAAGTAGGTCAGTACTCTTCTGTAATACAACACAAGTAGGTCAGTACTCTTCTGTAATACAACACAGGTAGGTCAGTACTCTTCTGTAATACAACACAAGTAGGTCAGTACTCTTCTGCAATACAACACAAGTAGGTCAGTACTCTTCTGTAATACAACACAGGTAGGTCAGTACTCTTCTGTAATACAACACAAGTAGGTCAGTACTCTTCTGTAATACAACACAGGTAGGTCAGTACTCTTCTGTAATACAACACAGGTAGGTCAGTACTCTTCTATAATACAACATAAGTAGGTCAGTACTCTTCTGCAATACAACACAGGTAGGTCAGTACTCTTCTGCAATACAACACAAGTAGGTCAGTACTCTTCGGTAATACAACACAAGTAGGTCAGTACTCTTCTGCAATACAACACAAGTAGGTCAGTACTGTAGTACAACACAGGTAGGTCAGTACTCTTCTGTAATACAACACAAGTAGGTCAGTACTCCTCTGCAATACAACACAGGTAGGTCAGTACTCTTCTGTAATACATCACAAGTAGGTCAGTACTCTTCTGTAATACAACACAAGTAGGACAGTACTGTAGTACAACACAAGTAGGTCAGTACTCTACTGTAATACAACACAAGTAGGTCAGTACTCTTCTGTAATACAACACAAGTAGGTCAGTACTCTTCTGTAATACAACACAAGTAGGTCAGTACTCTACTGTAATACAACACACGTAGGTCAGTACTCTTCTGTAATACAACACAAGTAGGTCAGTACTGTAGTACAACACAAGTAGGTCAGTACTCTTCTGTAATACAACACAGGTAGGTCAGTACTCTTCTGCAATACAACACAAGTAGGTCAGTACTCTTCTGTAATACAACACAAGTAGGTCAGTACTCTTCTGCAATACAACACAAGTAGGTCAGTACTGTAGTACAACACAAGTAGGTCAGTACTCTTCTGTAATACAACACAAGTAGGTCAGTACTGTAATACAACACCTGGAACCATCTCACGAGCACAAGAGAAATATCGACCCTTCTGAAACCATCACAAATTTAGGTTTGTGTCTCGGTTTCCTCGAAGATTATGTTGCCATGTGTTAGTTCCTTCGGGGGTTATGTGGCTATGTAAAGGTTTCCTCGGGGGTTATGTTGTTATGTAAGGGTTTCCTCGAGAGTTATGATGCTATGCAAGATTTTCCCCGAATGCTATGTTGACATATAAGAGTTTCCTAGACGGTATGGTGCCTTGTCAAGTTTTCCCCGCAAGAGTTATGTTGCTATGTAAGGGTTGCCCCAAAGTTACGAATTTATTTACGTGTGTCCCCGAGGGTTATGTTGGTATGTAAGGGTTTCCTCGAGGGTTATGTTGGTATGTAAGGGTTTCCTCGAGGGTTATGTTGGTATGTAAGGGTTCCCTCGAGGGTTATGCTGCTTTGTAAAGGTTTCCTCGAGGGTTATGTTGGTATGTAAGGGTTTCCTCGAGGGTTATGTTGGTATGTAATGGTGTCCTCGAGGGTTATGTTGGTATGTAAGGGTTTCCTCGAGGGTTATGTTGGTATGTAAGGGTTTCCTCGAGGGTTATGTTGGTATGTAAGGGTTCCCTCGAGGGTTATGCTGCTTTGTAAAGGTTTCCTCGAGGGTTATGTTGCTATGTAAGGGTTTCCTCGAGGGTTATGTTGGTATGTAAGGGTGTCCTCGAGGGTTATGTTGGTATATAAGGGTTTCCTCGAGGGTTATGTTGCTATGTAAGGGTTTCCTCGAGGGTTATGTTGCTATGTAAGGGTTTCCTCGAGGGTTATGTTGGTATATAAGGGTTTCCTCGAGGGTTATGTTGCTATGTAAGGGTTTCCTCGAGCGTTATGTTGCTATGTTAAGGTTTCCTCGAGGGTTATGTTGCTATGTAAGGGTTTCCTCAAGGGTTATGTTGGTATGTAAGGGTTTCCTCGAGGGTTATGTTGGTATGTAAGGGTTTCCTCGAGGGTTATGTTGGTATGTAAGGGTTTCCTCGAGGGTTATGTTGCTATGTAAGGGTTTCCTCGAGGGTTATGTTGCTATGTAAGGGTTTCCTCGAGGGTTATGTTGCTATGTTAAGGTTTCCTCGAGGGTTATGTTGGTATGTAAGGGTTTCCTCGAGGGTTATGTTGCTATGTAAGGGTTTCCTCGAGGGTTATGTTGCTATGTAAGGGTTTCCTCGAGGGTTATATTGCTATGGAAGGGTTTCCTCGAGGGTTATGTTGCTATGTTAAGGTTTCCTCGAGGGTTATGTTGCTATGTAAGGGTTTCCTCGAGGGTTATGTTGCTATGTAAGGGTTTCCTCGAGGGTTATGTTGCTATGTAAGGGTTTCCTCGAGGGTTATGTTGCTATGGAAGGGTTTCCTCGAGGGTTATGTTGCTATGTAAGGGTTTCCTGTATATCTACCATGTAACGGTTGTGCTGAATGTGGTTGGTGTTGCAGTACTTCCACGAGGTGGAGGAGGCGGAGTATTGGATGAACACCACCCTGTCCAGGATCCATCTGTCTTTCGACCGACAGAAGCTGAATGGAGACAGGGCGGACGCCAGAGCCATCTTGAATGAGATCAGAGTACGTCCACATAGTTTCGCCAATATGTCTGCCACTTCGAAAAAAACACAATAAGTCGAGTTTAGAACTAGAAGGATTTGGTAACACTAAACCCCGTATTGTTTACATCATATTTGTACGTTGAAAGTAAACATATTGTGTGAGTGTCTGAGGGGTTAGATCTACAGGTAACGTTGCTCTACTTTAAAAAAGGTCATGTTGATCTCCATTGTACTTTGTCATGACAACATAATACGTGAACTACTATTTAGTTAAGTGGATTGAAGTTGTTAATAATTTCAACATCAATAACGTCAATATTACCCAGTAAACATATTTCATATGATCAAACACTGTTTTCAAATCAATGTATGGCAAGCACTGTGTTGTCAGTGTACTTTAAGTACAATAGCTTTGTACTGAACCACTGTTTTTATCTTTTCATTCCAATACTTTTTGCATTGTAAGCAAAGGTAACAAATGCAAACAACCTATGAGTGTTCACACCTATATTTCCAAATGGCATCTGAAAATGGAAGTGGAAGAAATACTGAAGCAATGTTGTAGCAGTCAAATGAGCTGTATAATAACAAGACTGGCAATTTAAATTTAAAATACTGACGCCATGTTGTGATCGAGACTTATTTGTGCCCGTTTGTCCAGGACGTGCTGCTGGCCTACCTGCAGTGGCAGACCAAGGTGGACAATCTGTTTGACCGCAGCAGGAACATCGTCCCCGTTCCGCTCCGACTTAAGAAGCTGACTGACCCACGCCCTGCTCTGGTGCTGGTAGACTTCCGCTCAGACGAGGTAACACGTTCATCTGGTGTGTCTATCGAAATTCAGTTATGTGCATGTAATGCTTCTAACTGACAAATTAAGACACTTTTCATTAGCAAACCATACCTACGTATATGCTTGCAGATCGAGCTGAATGAAGGCGAAACTATTACCATCGTCGACAACAGCAACCGCCGGAAGTGGAGGGTGAGCATGCGTTATTCGAATTCAGTTGTTCGATGTTAGTTTGTAATTCTCAACTTGATTACCGATGTTTGACAGTTTTACAGCTGCTACGAAGCTACACACTGGATTGTCCAAATCTGATTTGTGTGCTTCTCTATATTGTTATTGCTATGGGATGAAAATTTGTTTGACATGTCAATAATTGTGGTTAGGTCACCAATAGTCGTGGACAGACTGGAGAAGTACCGGCCGTCATATTGGTCATCCCAGGGCCTTCTGGCGAGGCAGTGGACGCAGCAATCAGGTACTGACATAATTGATTATAATAAGGTATAACCCGTTCTTATATTGTATTGTCTTGTATAGTTAAAATGTTTTAGATTTAGTTACTAGCTATAAAAAATTCTAACTGCGATAATCTAGTTGTTTTACTGTCCTTCGTCGACAGGTTTTTATAATTTACCTTTAATTTATATTAATGTATAACTTGATTTAGTCACGATATGGCTGAAATATTGCCAAAGTGACTTGAAATTTTAACTCACTCACTCACTCACTCACTGTGACATCGGTATTGGTTTTAATCTGATCGAATTACACACGCTTGTAAACAAGGAATCCTCAGTGGTTTGAGGTTCCACAACCCGTTGTACAGAGATGTGTGCCTTTGCTGACTGGAGTAGCTGGTCACGTGTTTCACAGCGGACGACCACACTAAACGTCGTATTATAGTTGTCATACTGTACAGCGGATTGAACTCAGTTGTTTCTGATCCACTTTACACTGAAGTGACGGCCCTGTTTCTGTTGTCCAGACTCCGGCTGCAGTTGTTGTCACTGTGGACGACTTCAGTGAAGCGCCTGGGTTACCAGATGTTGGCCTTCATGCTGATTGTCTTCAAAGACTGGGACGAGGATGAGGTAGGTCATCGGGGATAACACTGAGGGGTGGGTGGGGGTGGGTAGGGGTGGGTGGGGTGGGGTTATTAGTCTCTTCCTTGATTAGCAGCAGCCTCGCCTTACAGTAGCAGAGGCTGGCCGTTCAAAGCTGCCTCGTAAATCTAACATGCAAAGAGTACATGCTCATATGGTATTTTCTGGAGATTACTAAATACGATTGTATAAAGGAGTGTTTTAACCATGTGCGAAGCCTCTGCACTGTAAGCATCGATCCTTAATGCGACTTAACAGCACATCACCTGGAAGAGACTTGGGATAGGAAGCGAGATTAGATAAGCTAGGATTAGCAGTTACATTATGAGACATGGGCATACACACTTAGGAGGACGAGACGTGAAGAGAGGCCTTGGGGGAATTTAGGTCAGCATAATCAGATAAAAGCATAGTCAGCAAAAAGTAAGATAAAACATTGAGCAGGAGTAAGATAAGGAGACTAATGTTTAGGTAAGCATTGAGTTGGAGTAAGATAAGGAGACTAATGTTTAGGTAAGCATTGAGTTGGAGTAAGATAAGTGAGACTAATGTTTGGGTGAGCATTGAGCAGGAGTAAGATAAGGAGACTAATGTTTGGGTGAGCATTGAGCAGGAGTAAGATAAGGAGACTAATGTTTGGGTGAGCATTGAGTTGGAGTAAGATAAGGAGACTAATGTTTGGGTGAGCATTGAGTTGGAGTAAGATAAGGAGACTAATGTTTGGGTGAGCATTGAGTTGGAGTAAGATAGTGAGACTAATGTTTGGGTGAGCATTGAGTTGGAGTAAGATAAGGAGACTAATGTTTGGGTGAGCATTGAGTTGGAGTAAGATAAGGAGACTAATGTTTGGGTGAGCATTGAGTTGGACACTAAGCTGAGTAAGATAAGGAGACTAATGTTTAGGTAAGCATTGAGTTGGAGTAAGATAAGGAGACTAATGTTTGGGTGAGCATTTGAGCTGAGGAAGATAAGGAGACTAATGTTTGGGTGAGCATTGGCAGGAGCAAAGATAAGGAGACTAATGTTTGGGTGAGCATTGAGCAGGAGTAAGATAAGAAGACATTGTTTGGGTGAGCACTGAGTTGAGAGACATATGACCTGCTGTTTGGGTGAGCATTGAGTTGGAGTAGAGACCAGTGAGACTAATGTTTGGGTATACTGAGCTGGAGTAAGATAAGGAGACCAATGTTTGCCGGACCACTGAGTCCACAAGGAAGATAAGGAGACTACTGCTTAAGTGAGCATTGAGTTGGAGCAGGAGAGTGAGACTAATCTTTGGGTAAGCATTGCTGAGTAAGATAAGGAGACTAATGTTTAGGTAACATTGAGGTGAGCAATGCTTGGAGACACTGAGTAAGACCAAGGAGCACTGACCCGAGCTGGAGAGCATGAGCAGTGAGCACTGAGTGAGACGAATGTTTGAGGACACTGAGCTGGAGTAAGACAAGGGACCATGTGAGGAGAGCATTGAGTGAGCAAGAGTGAGACCAATGCAAGGGCAACACTGAGCTGGAGCAAGGAGACCAATGGCCCAAGGAGCACTGAGCTGAGAGACAAGGAGACCAACAGCCTGGGTGAGCCACTGACATGGAGACACATGAGACCAAGTGAGACTGAGCCGAGAGGAGCTGAGACCACCCCTGGAGCACTGAGCTGAGGACATGAGACCCACCCAAGGACACTGAGTTGAGTGACAGACAGGAAGACCAATTGCCCATGAGCACTGAAGGACAGTGAAGACCAGGACACTGAGTGACACTGAGCTGGAGGACAGTGAGATCCAAGCCTGGGTGACACTGCTGGAGGTGACATGAGACCAATGCCTTGGGGAGCACTGAGCAGGAGGACAAGGAGACCAGTGAGTACTACAGCATTGGAGCAAGACAAGGAGGACCAATGTCAGGGACACTGAGCTGGAGGAAGGACAGTGGAGACCAACAGGCATGGAGCTGAGGAGGATACTGAGACCACAGGAAAGCACAGACCAGAGGAGGAGACACACACTGACAGGAGTGAGACAAGGAGACACACTGCCAAGGTGAGCATGAGAGACAAGGAGAGAAAAGCATATGAGCACACCAAGGACAACTGAGCAAGTGAGAGCAATGGAGATCCGCATGGAGGTCACTGGGAAGACACTGAGCACTGAGACAGACAGTGAGACCACTGCAGGCCAAGGAGCACTGAGACTGGAGCAGGAGGATAAGGAGACACAACACAGGAGCACGGAGGAAGTGAGACCACGAGCTGATCACATGAGAGAGTGACAAGACATGGACACAGCCTGGAGGCATGGAGTAAGAGATCCACAGACACAGACACAGGAGCACTGAGTGAGATGAGACAGTAGGACAAGGAGACCACAGTGAGCACTGAGCAGGATGGACAGGAGACCCAATGAGACCAAGGAGCACACTGAGCAAGACAGTGAGGACCCACACAGGAGCACTGAGCAGTGGACAAGACAAGGAGCACATGGAGGAACACAAGGAGAATGAGCTGGAGGAACAGGACCACCGGGAGAGACATGAGACCACAAGGCACAGATATGAGACTTGACAAGGACACAGGAGACCAATCACTGAGCTGAGCAAGACATGGAGACCACAGTGAGCACTGAGCTGGAGGTGACATGAGACCAACACATGGACCCATGAGCTGGACCATGGGTGGACACAGCCAAGGAGAGCTGGAAAAGACAGTGAGGACCAACTGCCTGTATAATGGAGCAGTAGGGATGACCATGTGTGCACTGGACATAGGAGATCCCAAATGAGCTGAGGACAGCCAAGAAGACCACTGACCAGGAAGATGACACTGAGCTGATCAAGACATGAGACCAACTGAGACTGACATGAGACTAAGGACCACTGAGCTGAGGCAAGGACCACTGCCCAGTGGAGCACTGAGCCGGAGAAAGACAAGAGAGACCAATGCCTGGGGTGAGCACTGAGCTGGAGGCACAAGGAAGACCAACCAAGGAGCAAGCAGCTGAACTGGTGGACAAGGAGACCGAAGGCACGCACATGGAGACCCAATGTCAGACACACAGTGGATGTAATAGGAGTGAGACCAAGAGGGACACATGGAGGACCAACTGAGGCATGGAGCTGGAGGTGAGTGAGACTAACAGCCAGTGAGCAAAGCATGGAGCTGAGTGAGACCAATGGTGCATGGAAATGGACCATAGTGAGACCACAGGTGGAGCATTGGAGTTGGAGTGGAGGATAAGAGACCACAGCCAGGAGAATGCAGTAGGAGGTGATAGTAGACACAGGATAGAATAGATGGGGAGGAGGACAATGGTGGAAGTATTGGAGTTGGAGAGTGGAGACTTAAATATTAAATGGAGGAGGTGGAGACACACAGTGCACATGGAGTTGGAGATAAGTGAGGACCACATTTGAAGCATTGAGCTGGGAGGTGATAGGAGACACAAAGGTGGAGAATGGAGCTGGAGGTGATGGGTGAGACACATGTTTGCTGGGAGACACTGGAGTAGGTGATGGGTGGAGACACAGAAAGAATGGTGTGGTGGAGCTGGGTGAAGACGAAGAAATGGTGGAGTATGGAGTTGGAGTAGGGATAGTGAGGACAAGGTGGAGAATTGAGATGGAGGCATGAGGGATAGTAGTGAGACGAGCAAATAGTTGGAGTATGGAAAGGAGAGACAATGCTTAAGGAGACTTGCAGGAGCACGACATGGAGATGGAATTGAGCAGTGAGACACTGAATGGTGGAGATATGGAGACCAGGGAGAGGAGACGAAAAGACGATGGAGGTAAGGAGACTTAATAGTGCATGGAAGCACTGAGGTGAGGTGACAAGGAGACCAATGCCTGGAGTATGCACTGAGGGAGTAAAGAGTGGTGGAGGACCAATAAATGGGAGAGAGACTGGCAGGAGGAGACATAATGAGACCATCGTCTAAGGGAGCAATGTAGGTAGGAGAAGGGAGGTGGAGACACAAATGTCTGCATGGAGTTGGGATTGGAGGGTGGGACACAAAGGGAGTGGATGGAGTAAGTGGAGACACAAAAGGTGGAGTAGGGACAGTGAGACGAAAAGGGAGGGATGAATTGAGACGAAGGTGGAGTATGGAGGACACAATCATTCCAAGGACCATGGAGCTGGAAGCAAGACATGAGGACCAACTCCTAAGTGAGCACTGAGCTGGAGCAGGAGACCAATCCAGCCAAGACATGAGACTAACTGCCTGGGTGAGCACTGAGCCGGAGCAGGACAAGGAGATCCACTGTCCTTGGGCGGAGCACTGAGCAGGAGCAAGATAAGGAGGACCAACTGCCTAAAGAGCATTGACCCGGGACAAGATAAGGAGGACCACCGCCCCAAGCAAGCATGGAGGAGACAAGGAGACCACGTGGCACTGAGCTGGAGGCGCTGAGACCCACAGCCCAGTGAGTACTGAGCTGGAGGTGACATGGACCACAGCCAGTGAGCACACTGAGTGGACAGTGAGACCCACATGCACTGAGTGGATAAGGACCAACACACTGAGAGGTGACATGAGACCAACAGCCAGTGGACACTGACAAGGACAACACTGAGCCGGAAGACATGGACCAAGCACTGGAGCTGGAGAGACAGGACCCACACCAAGGAGCACTGAGCTGGATGGAGACCACAAGGAGCACTGAGTGACATGAGACCCACTGAGCTGGAGTGACCACAGGCACAGGCTGAGGACAAGGAGGACCCACAGTGGAACACTGAGCTGAAGAGAGACATAACGAAGGCACTGCCAAGACATGGAGACCACAGGTGCATGGAGCTTGAGGATAAGGAATACAGTGAGCATGGAGCTGGGAGGCAGGCAGGAACCACTGAGCACTGAGCTGGAGGTGATAAGGACCACTGCCACAGTACCCACACAAGACATGGACCACAGCCAGGCACTGAGCTGGAGGTGACAGTGACCACAGAGCACATGGAGACAGAGACCAATGTGGCACTGAGCTGGAGGCAGT